TAGAGCTAGTCATAATTCATGGTATCACGCTTGAAGAATAGTTCACATTTCTGACCTTGGGCAGATGATCCTTTTCTATGACCTACGGTTAACGAGGGTGTCATGTGGCCAGCACAACGGCCAACCAGCTTTACATTCCCCCAACTAACGTCAGGTCCCCATTAGAGCTGGGTTGAATCAGAAGCACCCTAAAGATCCGAAATTAAAAGTTCAGTCTGCACCATGATTCGAACCCGGTACCCCCGATTCGGAAACCAAGCAATTTACTGCTCAGCCACTGCGCCTCCTTGAAGACTATAAAGCTAGTATTTATTAAGGCCTCATACTTAAAGACTATTAAGCTAGTATTTATTAAGGCCTCATACTTAAAGACTAAAAAGCTAGTATTTATTAAGGCCTCATACTTAAAGACTATAAAGCTAGTATTTATTAAGGCCTCATACTTAAAGACTATAAAGCTAGTATTTATTAAGGCTTCACGCTTGATAATTTTCTAGATGAAATTAAAATGAAATCACAAGGAAGATCTATTGATACTATCGAGGCATATCTACAATCTTAATCCGGGCATGGAGATGAAAAGCTCAAGAGAGATGCTGAGTGAAAGGATGTTCTGAATCAGGCCAGAACCACTTCGATGAATGAATGGATGGTCGTAGTGTCCATGTTTATTCCCTGATATGCCACGAATTGTATGAGTGTTTAAAAGAGCAACCGAAGTTGTCCACTTCGCCACATTAAGCGCCGCTCGCAATGGGTAGATATGAAAAAAAGACATGATCACTTCTTAGCTTTTTTCTGACCAACCTGTTTGTATATATATTCATTAAGTATATTTCAATGAGAGTCATGGTGGCTTAGTGGTAAAGCGCTTTCAAACATAAGAGTCGTGGGTTCGAATCCTGGTGAACACAACAATTTTTTTATTTCGGAATCTTTAGGGCGCCTCTGAATCCACCCAACTCTAATGGGTACCTGACTTTAGTAGGGGAAAAGTTGAGGTGGTTGGTGGTTATGCTGGTCACATGACACCCTCGCCAACCGTGGGCCACAGAAAAGGATAAACTTTTCCTCATTTTCCCAATAGATGGCAAGGTCTGAAAGGGGAACTTTACCTTACTACGCCATAGTTTATAATTAATTTAATCTTCATTTACACTTTAAACATTATTTGGTTTCTATTCCGCCATTTTTTAAAAATAGAAATATGATTACTTATAGATATATGTTAACAGAAGTTGTTTACATTGCTTATAATAACGGTTATTATTGCGATTAATATAATTGTTATTTAACGTTTAAATTGTATTGGTATTAACATGACATTGTGTATGATTTTGTTTGTTTATTACATTATGGTTCTCTATGTTACAGAGAATGTATAATTTTTTAAAAACTTGGAATATTCTGATAACATTGCTCATCCCATATGCTAGGACAAATTTGTACAAATACTCTTTCTTCCCTAGTGCCATTAGAGCATGGAATGGGTTGCCTGAGCTAGCCAGGAAAACCAGTGACTTGGCAGAATTTAAGTCATTGGTTAATATGCATGACGCGTAGGACGTAATCATCTTCTTTTTTGAAGTAACGTCTATATTATATAAGATAAGATGTATTCAGTGATTTGTATTTTGGACGTTCGATGTACATGAACAAGGTGGGTGTTACATGCACATGTTAGTGTAATGTGGAACGGTGCGAATGCGTGTTGAAAGTGAAAGAAAACCAAAATGGAGGACTAGAAACTAAGTAGTGTTGATAGTGTTCATGAAGATGAAATTAATTATAAACTCTGACGTTGACGTTTTGTGTTGATAAATTGTTAAAAGAGTCTCTTCATATAGCAAAACGTAACAAGGACTTTAAAAAACATTATCGAACAATGACTTGCTCAGAGTTAGATATAAATAAAATATCTAGGTTTAAACTGGGTCTGCATAGCTACATGAGATAATATCATTGTTCTTTGTGCATGAAATTATGTCTGACTGGAACTTCAACATGTAATTAAACAAAGTCCACAAAGACTTGAATAAATTACCTTGCGTCTGTGATGTCAAAGAAGTCAGTACTACTAGCAATATCAATCTGTAGTCATCCATCGTTTAAGCTACACGTTTTCCAAATGCATAAGAATGTATAAACAGGACCTGAGGTATTTCTTAGTATATATAAACTTGTTATGGGCGTCCAATGAACTGATGGTGAAAAACAAATAAGAGAAAGAGACAGACATGAGTAAGACATAAATGTCACTTGATTATTGTCGATCAGTTCAAGTTTGAGACGACGTTGGTGGACATACTTTATCGATGAGTGGTTTTGTAGTTTTTACATGACTCTCTGATCTTTATCATAAGTCAAGCACACACACATACATATACACACAAAAAAAACACATTGTCGAAAGGAAATGCTCGTTTTTTTTTACAAATATGTATTCACGTTGAGAGGAATCCTTGTTAGGGAAAGAGTCCATGGTCTTAGTTTTTCCGATACCCTAACTAAATGGACTTTGTAAAAGTGTTTGGATTCTTATCTAGGGCAGTTTAATGTACAGTGCTAGCTCTTTTTAATGCAGGACTTATACAACTCTAGTAACGTATTTTCAGCATCTAAGATTTACAAAAGTGCCTCCCATTGCCCACAAACAGTTTCCAGGGCACCACAGTGTTCAGCGCACCGCAAACGGTGTACAGGGCACTACAAATAGTATATATGGTACCATATACAGTTTCTAGTGCTCTACAAATAGTTTTCAGGGCACCACAATGTTCAGCGCACCGCAAACGGTGTACAGGGCACTACAAATAGTATATATGGTACCATATACAGTTTCTAGTGCTCTACAAACAGTTTCCAGGGCACTACTTTGTTTAGGAAACTGTAAACATTTTCAAGGGTACCACAAACAGTGTCTAGGGCGTCACAAACAGTATTCAAGGAACTACAAACAGTAGAAAAAACATTATAGTGGCCCTTGCACTACAAACAGTGTTGAGGGCAATACAAACAGTATTTAAGGAGCTTCAAACAGTGGAAAAAGCATCACAGTGTTCCTGGCACTACAAACAGTATCCAGGACTTTATATACATTGTCCAGGGTACTTCAAGTTTCAGGGGAACAACAACCATGTGGCCAGTACACTACAATCAGAGTACCTTCAGGCAAAACAAGTCTTAAGTAATTGATACATACCCTGTATGTTTTCAGCTGGTTAACCCTTAAAGTGCTGAGCTTTTTTTGCAAGAGTGCATTCAAAATGGAATTACAATTCTAGTGTTTAGACTTTAGAGGCTAAACTAACACACGTGTCTAAAGGGTTAAAGCCAATATTTCACACAAGTGTTTTCTGGTTTATGTGTTGTGCAACCTTTTGAAAATATAACATATCACATTGAATGGCTGCCTGGTAGTGCGGTTTGCGCGCTGGACTGTTGTTCGAGCATTTTACAAACAAAACAGAAATATATCAGTATAAAAGATATCTAGTGGATAATTAATAAAAATGCCCTCTGTTGGCTGTGTAAAGACATGAGTAACATGTCCGTATTGAAAACCTGTCTATCTGTTAGGCTTATCGAGCGTTGTTTCTCACCCCCCCCCCTTTTCTCTTTCCCATTAAAATAATCTCTCTGTACGTTGACTTTAAACTATTATGAATCGATGTAACTAAAAAGTGTCATTCAAAAGTTGGACGAAACAAAATTTGTACTTGACAAGTGTTGAATCTCGGTCGTTGGTGTGCAGCTCCAAACATCTAGTACAACCAAACGTATGTAGGCGTGTCTTGTTCTTGATGTAGAGCTTGAAATAAGGTTGAAGGAAATTTCTTTTGAAACAAACCTGAGTATAAATTTTATCAATCCTTCACCTATTCCTTATTTTGTTCTACCATTGGGGCACAACACATGATCTGTTTACCATTTTTATTCATCCCTCTATGTCTTTTGCCTTAGATAGGATCTCTTTCAATTACAGATCAGTCAATTATTGTATGCAGTCTTCTCATCGCGTTCTATGTTTTTTTCCTGGAACTGTTCCATGAAGGAAGGTCTTTGCGAGCCATGAGAGCCTTGTAATATGGCCATAGAGTTTTAGTTCACGCTTTTTGACAGCAGTTAGCAGATTGTCGTGGGGTCCAATCGCAGTACTAATACTGTCTCTTTGTTTGTGATGCGGTCTTTAAATGTGATACCTATGATCTTTCTGTTGTATCTTAGATCCATTACTAGCACTCTCTTCTTTACTTCAACAGTCAGCGTCCAAGACTCACAAGCATATAAGAATGTGGCCATGACCAGGGAGCGCATCATTCTAACTTCGGTGTCGATGTCTACGCCTTTGTCTTTCCATATTGTTTTGAGTTTTGCGAGTATCACTGTGAACTTTTATTAATGCACAGCTTTTAACTTTTATGTAGGTGTCTGTAGAAACACAGGAGAAGCTCTGTAATTCACCTGAACACAATCCTTTGATATTTTGATATATCAAATAAGATGAAAGAAAATAAAATAAAAAGGATTTAATATTGCCGATGCTGGCAAGTGACCAGCACAGCGACTAACCGCTTTACTTTTACCAACTTTATGTCAGATACCCACTAGACTGTGATTAGACCAGTGTTTCCCAAACCATTTTCTTAACAGAACATTCTGAGTATTGAACAGGGCACTTTGTTTATTTCTTAGATAGATAAATTCACTTGGTGGCCTACTAGTTAATTATTCCAATACTTCGTGGAACATTTATTAATGCCTCGCGGAAATACTAGGGTTCCACGGAATACAGTTTAAGAAACACTGCACTAGACTAATGTGGAATTAGAAAATACCAGTCTTCACCGAGATTCGAATGCAGGACCCCAAGGAAGCCAAGCGCTTTACCTTTCAACAACCACAATTAAAGACATTCTACTGTCAATGTGTAGCCAATGTTAGCACTTACAAGATTGGCATCACAATGTTTTGTTTGTGTGTAGTCCTTGACCAGAGTATTTATAATGTTTAATTCTATAAGTACGTTATTGCTCTATTTCAACTGCAGAGTGACAATAAAATGGTTTATTAGGTTTATAACTTTTTTTCTTAATACAAGCCCACCCCCCCAAAAAAAACAACAAAAAAACAATGAAAATAAACACAATAAACATTACGTCAAACAATAATTGAAATACAGAGAATAAGTATTTTGGAACTTTCTTTTTGATGAAAGTAAATAGATTCCTTTTCATGTATCATTTTAAAAAAAAATAGTTCGAGGGGAGACAGTAGATCAATTTACACTTCACAAAGGAAGTAACTCTTTTGTTTAGTGAACTCACAGATGTAATCATTCATTTTGGCGTTGTAGGACTTCCACAGGTGGATGCAGTTCTCAACATTATCAAGATTGTTGGGCTCATTAACCTTCCAGTCGAAGACCCACATTGCTTTCCCAGTTCTCGGGAAGATCCATCTGCCCTCCTGTGCGCGATCTGAGCCAGCGATGTAGACGATGTCGCGGTCTGACGACATGACAACGCTCTGAGCGAAGCGGAGCTCATCCCAGTCGTCAAGTTCAGCTAAGTAGCCTCCCATCTTTTCGCAGTAGTTGTTCGCTTCCTCGTAGTTCCTAGGAGAGAATGTTGATAGGTAGTAGCATTTTCCTTTGTAGGGTCGAGGAGAAGAAAATTGAGAGCCTGCACTGTTGCAAACGGCACCTGAAAATAACAAACAAATAAAGAAGCTAGAAGGTAGTCATAATCAAGGCTTTACGCTTTTACATTCCCCATCAAACGTCAGTAGAGACGTCCCATCATGGACGCCTTAGAATCCCAAAATTAAAAATCCCAAGTCTTCACCGAGATTCAAACCCACGACCCCGAGTTCTGAAGACAAGCGCTTAACCACTCAACCACCGCGCCTCCATAGATTTCATTGCTTATAGTAAAACTGCCAAATTCAGCCGAGTAAAAGGTATCGCACATTGCCTGCCAATTGTTTTGTTTTTTCTTTTGTAAACCTAGGGATATAAAAGTGCAGTTCTCACGGCTATCTTTCAGTTTCTCCATTTCAGCATTACTATCCTTCATTACAAATCTTAAACTTTCTCCTTCTTTCTGTCTGTTTTGTCTGTCTGGTAAAAAATTTGAACGCTTTATTTTTCCCACACTTATTCTCTGATCACGTTGAGCCTTTGCATAATTATTCATTGTTCCTGACAAGTTATGAATCAATCAAAAAATCAAATAATTAATTAATTAAAAGTGCATCTATTTATTTAGTTTGATATCGAAAAAAGGGAGAAACATTTTACAGTTTTGCGAAAAATGGCTGTAAATGTTTTTTATTGTATTTTTTGTTTTATTTTAACAAGGTAATATAACCTCAACCTAATAATACGATTTGAAAAAACATTAGTGGCTGACAAGTTGCTATTACTTTACTTTAGCAATGTGTATTTCGTAATCTGTCGGTAGCATCTTTTCATGTGTAACTAAAGAGGCCAATCCTTGATACACAGCTGCGGTCTCAGGTTGTGCATATGTAATCACCCGAGGCCGTTGCATTTTCACCCTTATGTTGTCCCACACTCTTTTCTGCAACCGTGACATGGTGACCATAGCTTTGGCTATCCTGTTGTTAATGTTTTTATCTAGTAGATCATCATTGGATATGATGGAGCCAAGATAGCAAAAATGGTCAACAAATCTAGTGGTTGGCTATTAATAGTTACGTGAGGTGTATAAATAGGTTCTCAAATATTGGTTAATTAATAGAAGGGGTTGATCCCCCTCTTTGAAAGAAGACATTTAATTCAATACGTCAGTTTCCCGTGTTCATGTGGGTAAGTAGCAAATCCTTTTCTATAAAATTAAACAGCTACAGCAGAGATGTGCACTTGATCGTTGTCTGAATGCTTTCATTTCGATGTCTTAAAGCTTTCATTTCGATGTCTGAATGCTTTCATTTAGATGTCTGAATGCTTTCATTTTGATGTCTGAATGCTTTCATTTAGATGTCTGAATGCTTTCATTTCGATGTCTGAATGCTTTCATTTCGATGTCTGAATGCTTTCATTTCACTGTCTGATTGCTTTAAATCGTAAGTTTAGAAAATAGAGGACTTACATAAACCCTTTTTGACAACGGCCTGGTCTGCGTTACATGTAAACAAAATATGTGCGTTGGTAGTTTACCTGCGTGGTCACGAGAAATAATTCTATTATTGTTCCTTGTACATGAATTATGTCTGATAATGACTTCCAAATGCTATGAAACTAAGTCTACAAAGATTTGAATACATTACCTTGCGTCTGTGATGTTAAATATGTCAGTATTAGTAGAAGTATCAATGTGTCCTTCATCCTTTTAAGTTTAAAATTTCACTAACAGACAGTGATGTATAAACAGGATATGAGCTTTTTTAAAAAAGTATTTAAAGTTGGCTGCCTGTCCTATGAAATGGTATTGAAAAAAAGTACAAAGGGAGTCAAACTTGAGCAAGATAGACATTTCACTTAATTATTGCTGATCAATTTAAATTTGAGACAAGGTAAATGGAGACACTCATCGATACGTGGTTGGTAGTTTTTAACTAAGGGTTTTTAGTACATACGCTTACATACATTCGCACAAACACACACACACTTAAACACATTACAAGCACACTCTCTCGCTTGCAAGAGATTGGTCAATACTTAGTTTTAGTGAACGTAATTGTACCTGACATTAAATTGACTCACCTAAACTGACTAAGCTAATTGACTAACCTAAACAGACTAACCAAAACTGACTAACCTATACTGAGTTCTTCTAGTACAAGGCGGCTAGTAGAAGACTAAGATTTATTGGAACATGTAGTATGCATAAACTAAGTGAATTCTTCTGTAGGCGAGGTGACTGAGATGTTTTGAGGTTTAAACCTACATTTTTTTGTGTGTATAAAGTGTATTGATGGCACTGTGGCTGAGTCGTAGAGCGCTTGGCTTCCAAACTGGTAGTCTCGGGTTTAAATCCTGGTTAAACCTGTAATTTTTACTTTCGGGATCTTTAAAGCCCTTTGAGTACACCCAGCTCTAATAGGTATTGACATTAGTTTGGGGAAAGTAAAGGAGGTTGGTCGTTTTGCTGGCCACATGACACCCTCGTTAGCGGAAACAAATTACCCCTTTACACCATCAGACCCATAGATCACTAGGTTTGATAGGGGAACTTTTAAGTGAGTTCTTCTAATACAGGGCGTCTGTAAGAAGATTAAGATTTAATAAAACATACTTAAGCTTTTAACAGCTGTTATCTCAGTTAATGTCTTAGTCAGCATAAATAGACTCAGAGCATAGTATGGTATTTTTAATTAGGGATATTATTCTTTCGGGATACGTGGAGGGGAGCGTTTAGTTACGGGTTCTTAAGAGTCTGTGATCTACATATCGAATAAGCTAGATCACGTGATTAGATACTACCATTCACAAATCAATGACCAGCGTACTGTTCATCCACATTGGCGTTGCATCGTTTTATAATGTATTTATGTTTCATTGTCTTTTTCAGCTAGGGAAAAAAAAATTAAAAGCTATCTATGTCCAGGACATAATATGAAAAAGTAAAAAAAAAGTGTTGATACATTAATAGCTCTGTTTTCTGAAAAGTTCCTCTTTCAGACCTTGCGATCTATTGGGCAGATGTTGTAAAGGTCATGTTTATGTGGCCTACGGTTAACGAGGGTGTCATGTGGCAAGCACAACGACCAACCGCCTTTACTTTTCCCCAATTAATGTCAGGTACCCATTAGAGCTGGGTGGACTAAGAGGCCCCATAAGATCACGAAATTGAAAATCCCAATCTTCACCAGGATTCAAACCTCGAACCCCCGATTCGGAAGCCGAGCGCTTTACCGCTCAGCCACCTTGCCTCCTTAATATGAAAACATATGTCTTATTTATGAAACAGCCTTACGTCAGAAGCCTAATACAAAGCAAAGACCCCCTTAAGAACCTCTTCAAGAAGTGTTATATTGTCATTCACGGCTGGGAAACACTGTCTATTACTGCCTGTGTTTAGTACAACACGCACTTTTGCTTCTCTTCTATCAGGTCCTGGATCTGTGGAGAAAATATACAGCTTTCTGGACCCTAATAAAAAAATGCTTTTTGTTTTTTTTTTGTTGGGGGGGGGGGTTGAGCTTATAGCCATGAGTGTACCGCTTCTTTCAGTACTCCATTCGAGGTAAATCTACATACCCCTTCATGCCTCTTGGAGTAGACAACACCAATGGAAGACTTTTAAGAAGACACACAGTTCCTGTAATGTACCGAATGTCTTCGAGCAATTTCGGCCCCTAATATACTTTCGGACCCAAATAATCCGGATAACTGTACGTTGTTCTTCTTCGAAACTAACAGAGAGCGGAGCAGTTATGATAACGACAGCGACAACATAACCCAGCAGGAGATAATCATTGCAGAGATAGCAAATCATTTTACCATGTATTCATCATCTGGGCTTCAAGACAGCAGAGTGTTTACATTAAATATTACCACACTGAGGATAATAGACAACGTACCTTCGTATAACTAAACACTCACACACACACAAACTAACACATATCAATATGAGAAAAATGGTACATATCAAATAAATACACATTTATTTTAACTACAAAATATAATAGAAATTATTCTTTAGCAAGATGCAACAATAATTACATTTGATAATTAAATTAATTAAGAAAATGAGTTTCTAAATGGGGAGAATACGAATGTTAATGCATATAAAAATAACAGTTTTGTAAATTCAATTACATGTCAATGTCATGGTCAATAAAAGACGTTCACTTAATGGAAACATTATTGTATTTAGTGTAGTGATTCAATAGGTTGCTAGGACTTTGGCAACATTGGACTGTTTCCATTCCGTGTTATTTAAATATTTGACAGCATTCATGATACACCACCGTTCAGTGTTTTTTTAAGTAAAGGACTTAAGCGACATCAGACTGTTTTAATTCAGAATTCAGTGATATGTAAATATTTTATAGGACTTGGGAGATATCGCACTGTTTCCGTTCAATGTTCTTTAAGTACAGGACTTAATCGACATCAGACTGTTTCCATTCAGTTATATGTAAGTATTTGACAGCACTTAGGCTACATCGCACTTTATCCTTTTAGTGTTTTTAAATTGCGCAGGATGACATCCACCTAGGGCTTCTTCCATTCTGTGTAATTTATGTATTAGTTTTTTTATTAAAAAAAGGTCTCACTCTAAATGTTTTGCAGTTCGATGTTTGTCTAAAGTCAAATTTACACGATGTAAT